TTATATATATATATATTGAGTTGGAGAAGTAGGTTTGAAATTTCATGCTGCAAAATATTGTTTGCTCTGTTTTACGTGCTTAACCCTCTGGTATTTCTGGAATTTGTGTTTGATGCCTTACTGTATAAGTTGTGTACACGTGTAGGGCATAACCTGAGAAGGACGAGCACTCCGTTATAGCACTGTGAGTAATAGTACTCTAATGCACATTATTTACCGTTAATAATGATTCTTATTAACATCTTGTTCTCCGTGGTCAATTAAGTTAACATGTATGTGGAACGAGAATTAGTGTGAACTTATGTAAACATTGAAGGATATAGAACACACTGACATGATACATATATCTACCTAGAGTGGATCATCAAAACGAATAATTGGATAAGACTACGGGTTGTTTTGTACGTTAATAACCATTATGAAATTATGTTAAATATCAGATGAACCTCTGAATGACTCAATTCGGAGAAAGAATTGAATGTCAATAACACGATTATGTGACCCATGTTATGATGTGAATGGCTCCATTCTTATTAATGTAGTGGAGCATTTACCTTCTGTTTATTGTTAATAGTGCTGTTCTATTATTGTGGGAGAATTATGTCACCTTATGAGAAACCATGGGAAAATCTAAGAGCACTACTGGGTACTACGTTCTGTTTATTATTGATAATGGATACTAACACACTGTTATCTGTGAACTAGAGGTAGTAATTCATGACAAACAAATGGGATGTGACTGCATTATGAAGTTCAATCTGGTAATAGTTGCTATTAGCACTCTGTTGAACGTAATGTAACTATGTTAGCTCATGTGAATAATTAGAAGGAACTATGTGCGTCTGTATGATTTATAAGGCCGAGAGCCATTTGTGAAATATGAATCTCTGAGGCCGAGGGCCAGCTTGTGAAATTATGAATATTTGTGCAACTATGAACTTATGAGGCCAAGGGCCGACTTGTGAATCTATGAACTTATGAGGCCGAGGGCCAACTTGTGAATTTGTGAACTTATGAGGCCAAGGGCCAACTTGTGAATTTGTGAACTTATGAGGCCAAGGGCCAACTTGTGAATTTGTGAACTTATGAGGCCAAGGGCCAACTTGTGAATTTGTGAACTTATGAGGCCAAGGGCCAACTTGTGAATTTGTGAACTTATGAGGCCAAGGGCCAACTTGTGAATTTGTGAACTTATGAGGCCAAGGGCCAACTTGTGAATTTGTGAACTTATGAGGCCAAGGGCCAACTTGTGAATTTGTGAACTTATGAGGCCAAGGGCCAACTTGTGAATTTGTGAACTTATGAGGCCAAGGGCCAACTTGTGAATTTGTGAACTTATGAGGCCATCGTCTTCCTTTGTTAGCCTCTGTGTGTCCAAGCATTTGGGTGAAGCCTACCCGTTTGGTGAAGTTTTGGCTTAGATTCTGATTGTCTATAATATGTTGTAACTTCTAATGTTTTTTTTTATTATACGCCCAAACACGGGCGGGGTTGTATATGTGTATGTAACTATTATTATCTGTCTATTTGTGATCCTGGCATGATAGTGGTCGCTCAATGGATGTAGCTCTTTCCTTGCATGTTATTATATAAACTTTATGCTTCCACTCAGGCCCCATATGTTATATATAACAGGTTAAGTGTCTGTTTTTGAAGTGGTGATGCCCAAACTTCTAGGGGCGGGTTTGGGGCATGACAAATACAATCACAGCTGAATAGAAAATTACATTTGAAAGTAGAGGTAGTTTGCCACACTTCATTTACAAGCAAATTATGGGAAGGAATAGTAAGCTATAACCCTTATGCACGAAGGAAAGCGTAAAAATATTTATACCCTCTCTGACATTTGGTAAAAATACAAGGACACTCTCTGACATTTAACACTAAAGAAGTTAGAACTAGTGTCTGAGAAATAAAAATACAAGGACACCCTCTGGCATTTAACACGAAAGAAGTTAGAACTAGTGTCTGAGAAATAAGGTACAAGTTAAATTAAAAAAATGGTAATTAACTGACATATGCCACATTCCACATTTCAATTTTCATATGATAGATACACACCTAGTTACCAAAATTTCTAATTAACAAAATGGTAATCTCTGTGATGGATATAAACATTACATGTGTTCCAAGCTTGGTTAATATACTTCAAAAGCCCCTCCACTCATTGCCAATTGGTTTTGAATTGGATGGATTAAGTCTCCATCTGTCCAAGTCTATTCTTGGGGGAGTGTAAGTGATACACTTGCAGGTTTTGTTCCATCCCTGGTAGATGAGCATTGATTGGACAAGGGATATCTACCAACAGAGAATGGAGGTTCAGATGGCTTGGTAATCTCTGTTGATTGTCCTCCAAGAATTAAAGTAGCTTTTGACATCGAGGGCCGATCATCAGGGTTTTCTTGAACGCATAACAATGCGATGTTAATCCATATGGAAACCTTTCTTACAAGACAATTGCTGATCAAGTTTCTATCTATTAACTCTTGTGCTTTGCCATCATTCCATAGTCGCCATGCCTGTTTGGAATCATATCTAATTGAGTTCAAAAATTTAGAACAAAAAATACAAATTTTGATCTTACTGAAGTTCAACAATTAGATGAAATGACCTACATACACTTTGTAAAAAGCCTTGGGCGCGTGCTGGGAGATTGAAGCTAGCACTGATTTCTAACATTAGAACTCCAAAGCTGTAGACATCAGATTTTACTGAAAATATTCCTTCCATTGCGTATTCTGGTGCCATGTATCCGCTGTCAAAAGCAAAATATTGAATTAGAGATAAAAATTGATGAAAGCAAAACTATTCTAGATATTACATAGAGTGAAATATTATGTATAGATTGACCTCGACATGGGCGGTGCTACATGTACATCTAATACGGTAACATTAATTGACCCATGAACTTGAATATATATATATATATATATGATATTTTTAAATAAACTTAGACAATTCTGCATACAAGGCCTTTGAGAGATAACAACACCTTTGAGAGAAATTTCATCACACACAAAAATAGTATATCAATTTTTGAAGTAAATAAACCGAGTCACACACAAGGCCTTATTTCTGCATCTTTATGTTTTGAGCTTTGAGGCAAATTCGAAGTTGTGAATGAATGAAAGTGTTTAAAATTTGAAATGTGTATGTGGGTGTTGATTTCCGACCACACAACCAATCATGGAATTTAGCTAGAGAGCACTGGCAGAATATATTGAGCCAACTACTTGCCAACAAGAAGACGAAAATACCGTAGTGGTTCGTCCACCTGGGGGCACTCTGACGATCAAGTAAGTAAATCTTATCTATCATAGATATCAAAACAGTACTTAAACTCACAGGCAAAAACTTACCTCAAACCCATGAGGGTGCCTTACTTTTATGACCAACAGTGACCTGATCCCCTATAAGCCTCACTTCAGTGGACTCAAGCTCAATGCTTATCGTAGACTCTCGGCTAGATAGGGATAAACTCTCCATGAGAGTTATCCTTATCCAGACTAAGAGCCTCTTCTGTTCTAGGACTCTTGTCCCTTATTCGGATACCTCAAGATTTCGGCATTGCCGCAGAACATCTCGGCAATGTCGTGGTCACCTCGGTAACGTGATTCATCCACATGGCACCTTAGCTGACATCTTTGGGCTATCTTGGCCACATGGTGTCATTCACAAAATAATTCCCCATAACTGCCCCTAGGTTCTATTACGTTGGCAACCTGAGGTGATGGAACCTCTATCGTTCGATCATTCAATCATATTGGCCAAACACGCAGATACTACTCTGACCGAGATCATCACTCGTCGGCTTCAAGTAACTAGGACTTAGTTGCCTACTTTACCAAGAATCAAGAACCAAGCTCTTTAAGTATCTCATCCGAGATTACACCACTAGCAGAGGTTATTGCCTCATTATTTCAAGAATTTCAAGAGTTTCAACTGCGCATGAGCTGTCACGCACCGTCATTTCAACTGTTTCTTCCACGTGTCCCTTTCTTACTGGTTCGTACCTAGCACACATCATCAAATCACATGGAGTCTGCCCACACAACCTGACAGGCACATCATCCAAGGCAATTTCATTATGTTTTGCCGTCTTTTCAGTTTTTGACGAAACTTTCCCTCTCTCTCTCTTCGTCTTTTCACTCTCACAATTTTCAATCTCTCATCTCGTCCTAGATTTTCTCTCTCTAGATTCCCAAATTGCCATTTTCGAACCTTCCAAAGCCTCTGCAATTATTCTGTTCGTCACTTTCGACGAACAATCACCTGACTCCAGCAAACTGCATTTCGATGCCTTTGCTCTCGGTCCTACCTGGTAAGTCTTTGATTTCTCATCTCTTGATTGTTTAGTGAATATATCTCTTTCCTGCAACTGTATTTGGGTTTATGTTGCCATTGATTCTGTATTCATACTAAACTCTTTTAAATGTATTTGCTCTTTTATCTTGCCCCGATTTGTTCAATATGCTTTGTGTTCTTAATTTCGTTTTCTTGTGCTCTGTTTTTCATCATGTTTCCTATACATTGCCTTGTACTCAATCGTTAGATGTCATGAATTGATGCTCACAAATTTGTCAATGCCTCTGATTGCACTTCTTGATTCTGAATCATGTTTTTCTTCAAATTTGCCCGTGTTCTTGAACAATTGTTCCACACCATTGCATTTGTCACATTGTTACTTTTCTCTGTCTCTTTTTGAATCATGTTTCTTTTCTGCTTTTCTTGCTCGTTTCCAGATTATTGCCTTTACATCTTGCTTATCTTTGTGGATTTAGGCTTGGGGTTTGACATAGGACACTGTTGCCTTAAGAAAATTGAAACAAAATCTTCCTTAAGCGTCAAGAACCCTTGCCTTAGAACCATTATGGTCTAGCCGAGGTCTTCAAACCCACATCAACTTCTTTTCTCTAAAATCTAGCACCAATCACTACAAGCTAACATCATGGGGATGTTGAAGTGGAGGGTAGACACCCCCTAGTAAACTTGAGTATTTCCGCCAAGAGTTCTCTATTCTATCCAATGTCCACCTTAGGTTGGCTGGGAAGGAGGACTCAATCATGCTAAGAGAGACCTTCTACCCATTTCCAGTAGTCTCTATAATCGAGGGTTGAATCAAATTCCCCCTTGTAGTTGGTTTTTTGTGCTCCTTGGAGGGGGCTAGGCTCCTTGGATATGATAGCCCTACAATTTGGACTCTCATGGTTCTGAATCTGGTTTCACAATTGTAATTCGAAACAGAAAAAACATAGATGAGAGTCCAAATCTAGCAAATCTTAGAAAATCCATTTATCATCAGAGATGCCAACAATGAACTGCATTGCCAGATTTCAGAGTCACCACCTAAATATTTTGAAAAATTTAGGAAACTCATGACTCGTGCCAAAGGCCATTTGTTCGTCATAACCAAAGTGTCTCGACTGGGAAACTTAGGTATAAGAGGGGAATGTCATAAATTGAGCACCCCACTCACCTAATCAAAGATCAGCCTCTACTAATTGTGATGTGATTTTTGTCAACATCATATGCTCTTGTTCTGATTATTATACTAACATTACTATGTGAGGCACAAAAGTATAGACTACGTCACCCACTTTGGAACGCTTTGATTTTATGTTTGTTTGACAAGAGTTTTGAATATGTGCTACTTGAAAAGTAAGCTGATATATACATTTATCAAAGTCATCCCAACTTAAGTGAAATATCCTTCATCCATAGGCATTCAAAGAGGTATTTCAAATAAGCACTTGGCCTCATGGTAGTATGCTTGATATGGCAACACAAACACGCATGTGATATGCTAAAGCAAAAATGCTCACCTAGTACTCAACCGAGGCAAGTCAAAGAGAAAAAAATAATTTGAAAAATGCATGTTCCTAAACATACAAAGTGACTAATGCAACACATACAAAATGCAACTACTAGGTTCAGTTTATTTAACATGTCATATGGATCAACTCAAAGCATGCAATGATGCACGTATTCAAGTAAGTAAGAAATGACAATGATATTAGAATGATGAACCGAACCCAATGCATGCAAAAATAGATACAAATCATGGCAATGATATGAAACTAAAATATGATACTACCATGGTAAGCATGTAAGTAAAAAGGAGAAAGAAATGGGGGTTGAAAGACATACAAAATATTACAAGTTTGCCCTTGCATAGGAGGGTCTGAATGAATGTCCTAATTAACTAATTATTACAACACCATATGCATTAACTTATTTATTACAAACACAAATAAACTAATTAATTATCACATGTCCGAATGGAAGTAAAGCAACTAACTAATTACAACATACAAATCTAAAAACTATTACTCTAATGGATTTGAACGAGAAACGAGGATTTGCATGCACACAACTGAGAACATCCTCCGGAAACCTCTCTATTTGCTGCCATAATCTACGTTATTTGCAGTCAGAAAATTATTCTGTTTTGGCCTCAGATTCTGCTCTGTTATGCTGTCAAAATGCCACTGCCTGTACAAAATAGGTGGTTGGCCAGCCGGCCTTGAGAAGTGGTCGATCGTACAAAATGATGGCCGGCTAGCCACTATTTCTAGGGAATACCCTGCTATAACAAAGCTGAAACAGAGCAAAAATCGAGTGTTTCCAGGAGATGTTTATCTTTCTTATCATGGAGTTACCTCAAGGGAGGGGGGAGACTTGCCTCATGAATCATCAAACATCACGATAATAGTATACGATGATTCAAGACGCAATAGGTTCAGTATAACGTCTGACTGAACCTAATCAAATTTTATGATCTTTTTATCTCTTTTACTCCAATTTTATTAGCCCTTTTTTACTTTACCTTTCCATTTTCTTCTCTTTTTGTCCTTTTTGTCCAAATGTGATGATTACGTCCACTAAATCCAAAACCAATAAAGAATAGCAAGCATGACTTAACCCAAGAAATGAGCTTTTTAAGCCCTTTTCTACGGGGGAAACTACAAAGCAAGAATCAAACTCATTTACAAGCGATAATGAATTCGGAGGCAAACCCAAAATGAGCGATAATGACTCCAAATCCAAACTCGATAATGAGCTATAATGACTCTTTCCTTTGTGATTTCCAAGGGTCTAACTATAAAGTTAGTCCCTTAGAAGTAATGCACCGACGATAAAGAGAAGTATCAAACAAAAATCATGTTTAGCATAAGAGAGATGTAATGCCCTGGTAGTGGACCTCTGAAGGGATTAAACCATTTAGCATGAGAGGTCTCTTTCTTATGCCTTGAGTAACAATCTTTTGTTTGATACAAGTCTTCACCAAAGAAACAAACAAAGGAGGGAGATTACAGAGTGCTAATGAAAAGTGGGTGATTACAATGGTGTGAATATGTACATAAAAGCTATAAAAAAAGAGGAAAATGCTATTAACTCAAATGGATTGGAAGCTATGGCCTACACCAAATCCATGAGGACTTGCAACAACACAAGTATAATATTTTAATTTAACACATTAAAAAGCACTTAAATAGCACAAAAACAGTGTTGAAAATCAAGTTTCAGAGGTGGAAAATGTGAGCGAAAGTGGAATAAAACTGTGAGACCATGAAATATCCTCTCGCATGAATTATAGAGATCCAACGAAGATATGAACTTTGTCCCTGTATATCTGCAAAGATGAGCATGATCGGCGCCACCCAACCGGGGTTGCCGACCGGAGACACTCCAATGGTAAAGTTAGCCCCAGAATCATAGAAGGGAGATGAAAAAATGAAGGGTGTTTGTGTGCTGTATGGCAGAGAGTTGAACATACCTTCACTTGGGATACCCCCTCTTTTATATAGATGGGGGAGGGGGAGGTGTGATATTTGTTTGGGTTGGGCCCAATGTAGGCCTTGTTTGGATTAGCCCCAATAAGCTGATATATATTTTTTTCTGGCTCCCACAATTGTCCCAAAACTTTCATTGTCTGTGGTAGAAGAAATGAGAGTTTTTATTACCGAGTTACCCTGTTCGAATAAAGATTAGGTCTTTTGATAAATGAATGGATGATTGTATGAATGCATGTATGTTTTGAATGCATGTACAAAAATATGTATATAAGGAAGAGAGATTAAATAAATGATGGTGATCATAGTACGAAATTATATCGCATGAGTTCCAAACAAATCATAACGATGGGCCATGGTATTGTTACCCCCTGGCAAGGGTCGTAGGTCGTGGTATTATGACCCCCGGGCGAGGGTCGTAGGCCGTGGTATTATGACCCCCGAGCGAGGGTGTAGTATATTGTCGAGTGCGAAGAGCGCTTCAAAATATGGACTTTTGTGTCGAGCTAGAGATATTTCTATGTGCTGAGCACGGAAATGATTTCTTGAACCAAATAATGTAAATTAAATAAAGTAG